ACCTGATTTATATGCTCCTTGCATTTTGTGGAAAGTGATTACATTGAGTTCGCAGGTGTCAAAACGGAAATCCCATACGATTTAATTCAGCGAAGTATCGTCCACAAAATTTGTTTGTTATTTTTTTTGTTTGTTTCTTCACTGATGATTGTAAAAAAAAAAAAAAAAAAAAAAAAAAAAAAAAAAAAAAAAGATATGTAAACATCGGAAAATGTTTGAAAAAAAAAAAAAGTTTTACGGGAGATTGAACCCAGTCTACCGCGTGCCAACCGGACGTCTTTCCCACTGAGCTACTGGGCAGGGTGTAAGATAGACAGGTGGTGAAACGAGAGCCAAATGAGCGACCCGATTGTGTCCCCCTCGGTTTTCTCTTTTTCTGTGGCGCCATCTATGTGGAGCACCGCGAACTTTCACTCCGGGTGGGCGAACGGTGGCGACCGGTTAAACTGACGGAGAAGGTTTCTCGTGGATTTTCAATGAAGGACTGTCGTGCTCTCAGTTTATTTTGCGCACTCTCCCACAAAGTTCCATGCAAATTCGATTCCAATTTTTTTCTTCTCGCCGCAGCGCCGTTTGTCGCAAATCGGGGGTACCCGCAAGCCACCCGCAAGCAGACGAGTACACAATCGGGTCACGGCGCTGCGGTAGGTTTCTATGGGCCGTTTCCCCACCTGTCTATCTTAGGGAGGCTGTAGTGAGGGTGGGCGCAACTCAAAACCTGGAGAGCGTTTGCAATTTAATGGCGGCACCTGAGGGAGAGGATTCGAGAAAGGATATGCGCCAGTGTTGCCTGCACGAGAGCAGGCGCCCGCTCTGTTGCAACTCTGTTGCTCCATGCGCCTTTCCTCCTCTCGCCTCCCATTGCAAGCAACGAGCGCCTTGGCGCAGCCTCTCTCGCTTCCTTCTCGCTCCGAGAATGGACTTCTTCCAAAACCGACGCGCCCCATCGCGGCGAAATACCACGCAGTGCACTCTGGGAACTAGTTGGCCACTCAGTTTCAGTTTCGACTGAGCAGCTTCATCTCATGCTATCACGCCGCGACCGAACGCGCTGCTTGCGTTTTCGATTATCTGACTTTTCACGAACGTACAATACACTCATTCTTGAGCGATACAAAACGAAGACCGGGGCACTTTCCTTGGTTCCCGAAACACCGGATATTGTGCGTGCGTATGCGAACATAGTAAGCCGTGGCTTAGTCACCTCACCCCACGAGTGCATCTCAATGTTAGTAATCCCGTCTAGTACCAGTGAACTACAACTGAAATTTGTTCGTCTGGAGCGTTACACGCATTTTGTTTGCCCAACGTCCGCTTCTCGCTACTTCATTGGGCGAAAAGCAAGCCGCATCCTCACAGGGTATCGAAGTTGAGGCCAGCGTTTACGCGTGAACTTTTAAGGAAACGCAATAAATTCGACCTCACTACTGCACAAAAGTTACTCTGATGTCTTCCTCGTGTCATCATATATCTCCCACCAGAATTTTATGCTGATAGAAGATTAACTTTTAGCAAACGTTGAGATCGGCTAGCGACGACGGAGGCCCTAACAAGCGTCTCCTACTCCTCGCTAAGCCTTTTTGGACGAGCTTTTACTGACGCCCGAGATCTGTGCCGGGAACGGTGTGTCTGAAATTATCTCGGCACACTCAGGCAGGAAGAAAGCAAACACATAACAAATATTATGGCCATTAGCAGCCGTCAAATGCGCTTTGAATTCGTTCGAGCACTTGTCTGAAGAATGTCGCACCGTGCGCCGGACGGGCATGCATGAACCCCAATGCGGTGCGCATAGGGGTTCATGCCCGTCTGACGCACTACCGGCGAACGGTGCGACATTCTTCACACAAATGCTCGACTTTTGCATTCGTAAAACGGCCTGTATGCGCGAATTTGCCTATATGATTGCAGTATAACTTAATGCGCATACGCGATGTTGAATATTAGTGGAATGCAAGCGGGTGGGGACTTCACTTCGTGCAGTGCTGCGGGTCAGTACAGATAAGAGATAAGTGTGTTAAAATTGAGCTTTTCAATGGCACCTCTGAGTTTTACCTCGCATACTCAGGCACATTAAGAAAAACAGTAATTGCAAAAAGTAATATTTCGTCTATGGACGCACGAAGCAAACTTCCTGATCAGCAACACTAATGCAAAGGCGCGAGCTCGATGTATGCATACTTATTGGTTGCTGCAGCTTGTTGATTCGTACACAAGCAAGATCCCCGAGCACCCGAGCTTCGCAGCGTCGAGACTACCAGCAGTGGCTCGTCCACATACCTCGATTGGAATGCTAACAGGAAGGTTCAAGTACAAAAATACAACAAGCATGTGTTAAGACAAGCTATACGTCTCGGGCTTGTGCTAAAGCTTCGAGGTCTGGCCATTTAGGCTAGTTTAGAGACCACAAATGACGCTCTCGGGACCAGAAAACAATCTCTTGTCGACGTGTCGATCGAAACCGAAACCATGCCACCCTCCTCCCTGGCCAACTAGTTCCCAGGGTGCAACGCGCGCCGTGTTGCATGCAGGGCTTTATGGAAGGAGCGGAGAAAGCAAAGTTGCCAGACAAGCAGCAACGTCCAAGATGGCGGAATTTACGATTTTTCGCGTTAAAAAAATACTTAACCTATCGGAACAAAACTGGTGGCTATGGCAAAGTAATCATTTATACCTCGTGTAAAATATTCAAGCACCTTAATGGGCTTCTATGACCCGAGTTAGGAAAGAAAACGAACCTTTGCCCCATAGACTCCCAGCAAAATTTAGCAATTAAATGGCGTCCATGTCCCGTGATCGCCGATCTAGCAGTTGCACCCTAGTCTATCTTACACCCTGCTACTGGGGCATCTTGTTTGTGGTGGATCCGTGGATCTCTTTCCTTAGTAATAATTCAGCCGGTAAACTGTAAGTTGGAAAGTTTGCTGTCGATTTTTCTCTAGCAAAAGCACTCCCGGGTCGAAGTCGGGAAGCAACACGCTTTGGGGACATTCGCACCTAGTAAAGAAATCGTACGCGTGCATATTCAACTCAAAGTAGACACGTCTAGAGCACTATATAGCTCCTTCGGAGCAGAGTAGCGCAATCTAGAACGCCGCCTCTCGGCGACTAGCGGCGAACGCCCGGAGGTTCCAACTGCGGTCAGAAATGCATGGAGAACGTGAGAAAATCGTTGTTTCTTCAGTATTGTGGGGATTTACGGAATGGAAATTGTTTTTGACATAATAATGGAACATTTTAGAATAATTTGCGCTAAGTTTTGTGCCACGCAAGGACGTAACTTTTTTTAAAAAATTGCCTGAACGGCATCATGCAGCAGACGACACGGCGACGTCACACCATTCACGTGACCCGCTCCGGCCAACCCGAAAAGCCCATCTCCGCTGCGAGCAAAAATCGTCTGCTTCAAACGCCATTGCTTTGGAAATTGCCTTCTCAAAATTTACACACGCATCCGATATTATTAAAACTTTGATAAAGTGTTTAGTGCTTTACTAACTTTACGACAGACTAGTTTTGAAAGGTGTGAACTTGCCGCTCATTTTTTAATCAGCCGTGTTGTGTCGATCTCCATGTATTCTCCCATAGGGCGGGCCGCCTCCTGGAACCCTGAGTACCACGTGACTCGCGCCGAGCCGCTCTGTCGGCCATGTTGTCGGCAAAACACCGTGTTCAAAGGATTGCGCTACTCTGCTCCGTAGGAGCTCTATAGTGCTCTAGACACGTCGTGCTTGACGTTTGCGCGAGCGATGTCTTCAGCCACAAGAAGGGAGCGACGGCTCGGCGACGTCTTCGTGCAAATCGGCTTGGTGGCCGGGCGTGTCGTACGGGATGAATACCAATTCTTTTGATCAGTCCCAAATTTCTCTTTTTAACGATAGACAGAATTCGCCGGTACCGCGAACGACAGTTCTGAAATAGAGGTCCCACGCCCGTCGTCCGCTGCCATCGTCGTCCCCGCAAGTCCCACGATACGCGAAACGACGAACGCACAGAATGCTTCCGGTTGTCTGTGGAACTTTTTTTTTTCAATCAACGTATTTACAGCTTTTTAGAAGCCACAAAAAATGGGTTTCACATTTTTTTCTATTTTTAATATTGAGTGTGTGCCTTCAGTGACCCACGACTTTGATTAAATTTGGTGGTCGCATCGATACCTTAGAAAACGGCCCGTGACCGCGAAAAAGAGAGTGAGCGAGGCTCGAACCGGCCAGTTCCTGACCGGCGGTTTTCGGGCGGAAAGAAACCGAATTTCGAGCCGCAAATTCTGTTCTGGGTAGTTGAGCTCTCATATGTCACGTGCAAATAAAAACCTCGGCGAGCATAAATACCCTGTCAGTGTCCCTTTAAGGAGGGATTTGTTTAGTAACGTATATCATTCAAATAAGAAATGTTCATTAACATGCGGCGGTACTTAGTAATAATAATAATAATGGCTTTATTCGGTTTCTAAAACCCGGGCGACAGTGAAAAGGCTATTGCCCATGCCATAGAGTTTGCCCATATCTGCAGCAACGGGACGGCGAGACCCAACGTCGCGCGACCACAGTGAATAAAAGGCAGGGACCAAATATAGTTTTCCCACGGCCGTTGCTTTCAGGAGCGAGTGCTTCAGCTCGCAAAGTAACTCCTGCCGTACAAAAACGTCGTTTCGTTTCACAGCATGACTGGTACCCGTCATGCTAGCGTCGGATCGTCCGCACACACGCGCGTCTATCGTTGAAAATGTGTAAAAAAGACACGAGACGAGAAACGACAGGAACGCGAGACAGCGCCACATAACCCACGCATGCTCAATTACGGTATTCAGTTTAGTTTCAGTTTCGAAAGGCGACCGAAATCGGTTTTTTGGCACAGGTTTGGCGCAGATTACCATATTCTAGGAAAATGTAGCAGGATGTAGCAGGGTTAGCCCCCTGGCGCAGTTTGGCGCACAATCATATCACTGCACAAGTTCTTTCCTTCGTTTATCTTTTACTGCATGCCAAAAGCCATGCTGATGCTGATTATCAAGTTTTATTTCCCACACGCACGTCAAAAAATAAACAAATGAATGGATGGTCACACTCTGCTCATCCGAGCGATATTTAAATAGAGCATGCCTATCGCTGTCATTGTAGATTGGCCACTGGCATGTGGCTGAACAGATGGTCTCTCAAGTGAGTTCTCCGCTTGTATGTTTTTCCACATGTCGTGCACTCAAAGGGCCTCTCGCCTGTGTGCACTCTTTCGTGCTCCTGGAGCTTGCTCTTTGAAGGAAGCACCTTCAGACAGGTGGTGCACATCAGGGGCCTTTCGTCCGAATGAATCCTATGGCGAGCAGCCGAGGGCCTACCCGGAAGCATAAAGGGTCTTTCATCGGAATGAATCCTGCCGTGAACTGTCAACAAAAAGTTGCTCGTAAGCGTGCCACCGAGAGTGCTGCCTTCGGAGTGGCTTTTGTGTCTGTGGGTTCCTCCAGGAGCACTTAGGTGATGCCTCCCAGAAACTCCTTCTTGATAGAACGGCCTCTCTGGCTCAAATGTCCCTTCGTGAAGCTTTGTATGGCTCTTGTTACGACTCGAGTGAGAACAGAGGCCACGAAGGAGCCCATCTTCTCGTCGTTGGCTTGGTCCCTCGCTGGTGATGTCAAAGCTTTTGCCTTTGATGTTCGAAGCAATCTCAACCGGCTCTGCGGGGTAATTGCAAAGAATGCAGTCAGTCGAAATTCTCAGAATTTGTGAAGGCAAGATGTTAGGCCAGCGTACTTCTGACACAAATTTTATGTGGGCCTTTTTTCCACAGACATCAAACATTGGCACCAAAAGAAACATGCTTAAAAACTGAATCAGCAATAACACATGATGACGAAAACCAGAGCACGGAACGTGTTCTGCACAGATCACTTTGTGTGTAGTTTGTGCTGTTTCATTCTTTTAATTCCCTATTCATTATTTTTCTTCAAGTAGTTTCTGTTTTAGTAGTTTAATTTTCTTGTTTTATTTTGTTATTAATTTTTGTTTTCATACAAAACCTGCCCGTTTTGCCGGCACATTTGCAATAAACTAGAAATCTGTTACCCCTCTAGACTAGATGGGTTAATATTTGTTGGCTATAATATCCGGCTGCCACTGCACCGACCCAGGTACAAGCCCCGCCGGGGTTCAAACCTGGGTCGGTGCTGAAATGACACTCACTAAAATCAATGGTCATTCATGATGATTTTGTCATAGGAAATGCCCCATTAAAACTTGAGGGGCCAGCCACGGCTGTTGTATTTTTTTAACAGGTGTACTACTTATCAACGAGTTTTCATAAGAGTGTGATGCAAAGAAATAAGCATATTTAAAGGGTTTACTCCATCATAGAGTGACATAACCCTTAAATTACATAACCTCCCAAGGCGACACCTAAGAGAGTGTAGTACCGAAGGAGCTAAATCCCTTAGCCAAAGGTCGCTGCCCTTTGAGAATCACAGGCTCCTTTCGAGTAGCCAAGACAGTGAGTGATGATGGCATCAAGCACCCTTAGAAAAGCTGAATTTCATTCTGGCAAAAGGAAACATATGAGGCCCAACATGTGGGCCGCCTAGATAACATTGTCCACATAAGGCAACTGCTGGCTAGAATCCCTGCTACACCCTCCTGTAGGGCCCTAGAAACCAACAGGAGAGCCAAGCACTGTTCACCAGCTAAAGTGCCAATCATGCCAATCAAAACTGGTTCACACATCTTCGGTTGACTGGCTGCAATGCTCCGTTGGAGCCGGCCCTTCACTGATCCTGCTCCAACAGAGACCCGCTAAGCGAGTCTTTGGTGCCGACGTCTTCCGCAGGCGTCCTGCTGGCAAGTTTTTCGCCCTCGTGGCTCTTCCTCTGATGAGCCTTCAAGTAGTTACTCCGCGTGAACGCCTTTCCGCAGGTGACGCACTTGAACGGCTTCTCCCCCGTGTGCATCCTCAAGTGAGTCACCAGATTGCCGCTCTCGTTGAACCGCTTCCCGCACACGCCGCACTGGTGTCGCTTCTCACCCGTGTGTGTCCTCTGGTGGGCCGTCAAGTTGATTTTGAGTGCAAACCTCTTCTGGCAAAGGTCGCACGTGAAGGGCTTCTCGCCTGTGTGGATCCTTTCGTGATCCTGCAGGTGGACCTTTTGCGTGAATGTCTGCTGGCAGACGCCACAGCAGAAGGGCTTCTCCTTCGTGTGGATCCTCTCGTGGGTGGTCACGTGACTCTTCCTGTTGCTCGAGTAGAGGCAGAAGCGGCACTTGTGCTTGCCGCGTTCCTGGCCAGGGCGTGTCCTTTTCCACCACTGTCCCTGGGGTGGGGGCTGGCTGTTACTGTCTTCGTGGTCGAGGCTCTCGTCCTCTGGGTCAAAGGCTGGATCGTCACCCGGCTCTGTTGAAGAGATGCACTTTCTAAATCAGTATACATTTTTCTTAATCTGCAGACATAAAGCGGGGAAGGGGAAAGATAGCTTGAGCTATGGACATTACACACAAAAACATAGCAGACTGTCTTCCATGTCAGGCTCACAATGATATGTGTTCACATGACATCAGTCTGCCATTTTGTTGATAGAGTGAGTGAGAAAAGGTGTGATCAAGCTCATAAGCTTTTGTACACTACTGATTTGAGGGGGTTGTGTGAATCTTTGGAATACTGGCCTTCTGCACGTGCCAAACCAAAAAAATGGTGGATGAAATGATGTCGATGAAAACACCTTGTAAAGCATTGAAGTAGATAAAGTAGTAAGTAGCAGGTTCTAGCGAAGCTACGTGAAGGCTTAAAGGGACCCCAGCTATCAGGTCTCAAAATAACAGCACAAGCATGGAGTTACACAGAAACACAAGTCACCACAGGCCACAGAAACAATCACACATAGTGACACAATCACAGCAGATAAAACACTCACACAGTGTTGAACAGACAAAACACACAGTGTTTTTGTCTGCTGTGATTCTGTCACTATCTGTGATTGTTTTTGTGGCCTGTGGTGACTTGCGTTTGGGTGTAACTCAATACTTGCACTGTTATTTTGAGACATGGATAACCAACTCGCCCAAGCGGCCATTTTGCCCAGCTATCAGGTTTGGCATTCTAGTATCAGTGATGACGTATGCCTTTCACGAGGTACATGACTCAGAAACCAAAGTGAAAGCCTCAGAAATCAATACACATTATTTCTCAACAAGAACCAAGCCCTCTGCCACGCTGGGATAGAGCGTAGTAACAGGCACGCGCAACTGCTGGGGAACTAGAGGCATCAGAAATGTTGTGTGCAAACAAAAAACACAAAAGGAAGAAGAAAATTAAAACACAACATAAATGGCATCCTTGACGATCGTGTGCTTTGCAGGAGTGCTTACACTTACTCTACTTGACCAGCTTTCGTTTTTCTTTTCCTTTCTGCCAGAGGCAATGTAATATGAACAAGGTTTTGAAATGCCTGCTCCACTCCTAGGTTGCCACTAATTGGCCAGTCACTTTGCTCCTATCATTGTTACCTCAACATTCACGTGTAATGACACCAAAACACGAGATTTCCTTTTGTAATTCTAAATTCAATTTGCTCATAACTTCTCAGAAAGTATGAATTTTGTGGGCATTACCATGTTCCTCGAGATCAGTTAATGCACACATTTGAAAGAGTGTGTGAAAGAGAACCGTGTCCCCAACTTGCTGAGAAGGAAATTTTGAACACCGAGAAAAAAGTGAAGGTACTTAATGACATGCACAATGAAGATGACAGATGCAGATAAGGGTCAACCAGAGTTTGCAGAGAGTAGGTACAGGCCCAATAATATCTCAAGGATGCATGCACTCAATCACAATGTTAAATGCTCTTGCATGTGCAAGGCTGCTGTTTTGCAAAAAGTAGAAGTGGTTAAGGGGAGACACGGGTCTTTGGAGCCACAATATCCCTCAAAAACTTTTTTTCTTCAAATGATGATATTGAAGATTACTTTATAACATCTATGTGGGCTGAAATTGCACTGAAGCTGATGCTAAAACAACACTTCCTCAAAACACAAATTTTGGACTCATTACAAATTTTCAGAAACAGATATCTCAACATCTAGGGCAGACAGAAACGTTTTTAGCAACATGCAGCTAATCTGCAAAGCATGCAATGTTGAAAGCAGATTTGTCAATATAGGTGTAGAAAAAGTTTTACCTAACTGAAATAATGTTTTACTGCTTGGTAGCCACATATTGAGCACTGAACTTCGATGTGTTGTAAAGTCACCAATAATGGTCCAATCAAAAAGTGCTTCCAACATTGCATTCTTCATAATTTGTAGTATCTAAACATGTTAAACATTCTTTTTTCTAAATAATTTTTCTACTGTTTTTGGAAACAGTCTGGTTCATTATAATTATCCTAGAAACTAACCTACTTATTAAAAAAAGACAAAAAAAATGATACTGTAAACAACTTAATTTTCGCAAATTTCGCGAAATGCCTACAGTTGGCAAAAAACAGGTCTCGGAAACAATTCTGGTAAAAGGTAAACACATTGGCATCTATATTGAGATCCCATCATGTCGCAAAAATTAGAACCCACGAATCATTCCATAACTTCAGCTTTGACCCAAATCGCGAAATATTGAGCCCGCAAAAAATAAGTAGTTTACAGTATGTGAAATCCGCTCTAAAGTTTGAACAAGCTTGCGCTGTTTCAGTGGGCTTGGCCCAAGAAATAAGAGCCAAGACTAGTGTTCCCTTAAAGGGATACAGAATAACTTAAAATAAAAGGAAATGCCAAGAAATATGTAGAATAGGGTCAGCTGAAAGTGTAAATAATAATCATGCTGCTATTTTGAGCAGATGACTATATTTTCTGCTTTTCATGCCGGGAGTTTCGCAAGTGCTTCACAATCAGCCACTGAAGAGCGCGATGCATGTCGGGAGATCCGGTGCACCCTTGACGTCATTGTGTCACGTAGGGCCAAGCATGCCGTAGTTATGAGCTTTGCCACTTGGAGGCATCAACGCGCTACAACCTCGCTTAGTCGAACCACCCGACGGCTGTGTCATATCACGGGAGGATTGCGGAGCCGGCGGAGATGCCTCATGTGTGATGGCTGATCACGCGACGAGAGCGGTGCTTATGATAACGTTAATGAGGACAGACGCCACTACATCACTAGTGGCCACGAAGGTTGAGAAGCGAGTCGGACTAGAGCTGTATTTGTATGACCCGTCTGCCTTGTCACTGTCGTCCGCAACAGGCTCTTATTCACAAAGCGATCCTACAACAAGAAAGTTATATATGTATTAAGAACTAATTCAAATTGATGATGCAGAATTATTGTAAGTTATGCTTAAGTTCCAATTAAATCGTACGACAGCTCCAGAGATGTCGTACGCACTTTCTACTACGATCATATCCACATGGCTCACAACACTGCTCACTTATGTCATTGCAACGACCACCGGACATTTCTATGTGTTCTCCATGTGCGTCCCGACTTCAAGCAGAAAGAGGAAAGATTAAAGCACTTCAACAGAAACATGACCAACTGAATGGCGCGGAGACAAACCCTGTAACCACAGATGACGAGAAAAAGCTATGACGAGAAAGATCCCACCGACCAACCAACCGCCAAGGAATGATAGGCCTAGCAAGGCACTTTGACCCAACGTTGCCATGACAACCCTGCCAAAGACCATCTGCCGACGATCGACTGGCTCGCTGAATGAAAATATGCCCAAGCAACCTTTCTGGACCCTTCCCATATCAATAGTTTGAAACCTGGCTCGTATTTTCGGATAAAAAAGGCCAGTCTCTTCTTCTTGTCCTCCCCTTGTTTTCAGAAGCACCGGCGGCTAATGCTCTCGTCAAAAAGACATTCTCATCAATTCAGTCTCCTTTCTTGAGTGTTATAGACCTCAAATAAACGTCGTAAGGATTGCCATTGCCACATGGGTATGTGCACTTTTTTTTCAGCACTATGTCCCTTTTATTCCCAACAGTATGTATATTCGGTTGTATTCCCAACGCTTCATACAATTGGCTGTAAAGGATATTTCCCGAAACGGTTATCAAGATGCAGTCCAGGAGCGCAGCTCCGCTTCCAACATGAAAAAATATTAACGCGACTCTTGCCGACACTCTTGTAGTTCAAACGTATCTCCCTGGACGTCTGCTCCCTCACGCATCCTCGAGGCCACTAAAAACACCGCAGCGATTTGTTTCTATTAGGGATGCCGCGAACTTTTTTCGAATCGAAGTTTCGATGATCGAATCAAGCGGTTTGAAAGGTTCGAAAGATTTCGATTTTTCGAATTGTCTATATCGTAAAATTCGACGGAGGTCGAATTTTCGAACTTGTTAAGCTAAAAAGTTCGACGCTTTTCGAACCGTCGAACTTATTACGCTAAAAAATTCGATCTTTTTCGAACTTTCGAACTTATTGCGCTGCAAGGTTCGATGCTTGTCGAACTTTCGAACTTGACTGACCAAAAAATTCGATAAATTTCGAACTTTCGAACTTATTTATCAAGAAAATTCGAAAAGTTTCGAACTTTCGAATTCTGAAAAGTCAGAAGTTTGACGAACTTCGAACTTATAGGGTAAAAGTTCGACGTTCGTCGAACTTCGAAAGACCGGCCGACGGTTTCATTTGATTTCAAGTAGGTACATTCGTAATTTTTTTTCTCGAACTTTTACACGCGGTGCTGCGTTCCTTACGAAAGACAATGTCATTTATTTCAATGTTCTGGCATGCTTAGGTTTAAAGAAATAAATCCCCGAAGGGGCGAGGACGGATGACGGGTTTTTGACGATTATCGTTTGTGCCAGATTTGAAGCACGCTGCAGCCGGAGCTATTTATGGTAGATATGTTATACTTTTTTTTAAAAATGATCTATGTATAGCGTAGGTAAGTGCCGTCTTAAGATGTGATTATTGTTATTCAACGTGAGTTTCGAAGGAATGTCCAAACATGTATCTGCATGCAATTATGACCTAAACTTGATATTTATTTTCGTCTAAGTTGTTTGAGGTATCGCATTTAAATTAACACCACAGACAGTACATATCATTGCCATCTGCAGAATACAAAATAATATATTTATTGTTTTTTCACGTTAAGGAATAAATTAACTCATGGCAGAAGATTTCTAGTAGTGTTCAAGTTCAGCACGTCATTAAAAGAAAACTTTTTTTTTTTTTTTCGCTTCACGTTCCTGGGACGTGTTTCTTTTAGCCTGTACACATTTTGGTAAAAGAAACTTGTTTCGAAGTTCTGAACCTCTGAATATGCAAGAATAGAACACTTCCAACGAATTCTTGATAGTTTTTTTTTTTTTTTTTTCTCCTGCTCTTTATTCCCGCATTTATTCTTTTTTTTTTTTTTTTTTTTTTGTTACTATCGGCACAGGTGTTTA